GGTCGTGGACAATGACGGTCTTTATTTTGAAGAATAGTTGTTGTTGTTTTTGAATAAATTCATGCATAAAAAATCATTATTTTAACACGGCGCACGAACTTTTTCCTCAACCTAATACGTACAGTGTAAATGTAACATCAAAGTATCTCTATCTAGAGTGTATATGGTATATTTATTCTGATGATGAGTCGCGGATTCGAAACATTAAAGTAACTTTTGTAATAAGTAAATAATTCCTGCTGTAAATTAAATATTGTGTTGTTATTAAAAACTTACAACTTTAAAAAATACAGAAAATTTTAATTCCATTTCCGCTGCCGTTTCATTAATTTCCACCGCCGCTGTCATGATCTGACATCGGACAAGATCGTTAAAGCACTCTTATCCATCAATTAGCAGATAGGTCGGCCTCACCCTGACTCTCAATAATAATTTAACCCGATATTGTGCTATCCAGAGAGAACGTCGAAATAAATTAAAAGCTTTTCTGATGAATAAAATGCGATTTAAATTAGCTGCTGTATTAACGATTAAATCCTCCATGCGTCATTCTATAACCGATCATATACCATAGAAAAGGTCACCTCAACATATTCAGAACAGCGTCTTCTGTCTGCTTTATTTTATTTCACTTTTTTTTCAGACATAAGAGCGAAGAATATGAATATCCCAATAGAAGAATGGTCATGGTTATATCTAGATCGGTGTCAACCTTTTTTTCTTTTCTAAGATCTAATCCACCTGATAACGAAATGGAAAAACCCTTTATTTTCGCAAACAGCAGAATTACGAATTGAAAATCAAATTATAACAACTGAACGTTTAGAAAATATATTAAACGATAATAATTATACTAAGCTTGACCATGGTTTAGCAAAATCAGATTGGGTTTTAACGTTTCTTGCGTCAAAATATCATCCGATGATGTTGTGAATATTCTTGAAAAAGACAAAACGAAAAAGAGGGAGCTCAAGGAACGATGTTGCATTTATGACTATCGAAGCTGTTAATCACAACTTACATTGAAAAGTCAACCCCTATACAAAAAAGTGAATATTACTGAATGATAATGAGATAGGGCAGAAACTAAGAAAATTCTTTTTTAAACTAAATTATGTCTGTTTTGGAGAACTAATTAGCGGTTCAAAATAGTGCCTCGTCGTAAAATTGAGACGAGTGGTTCTTTTGATGAGTAGTGGTCATTAGACCTTCCCAAGTTCGGGTTTCGTTCAGAACTGATGAACTGTTCAAAACGCTATATTCAGTTCTTTTGAGCGAGCTGAACTGGTCGAACAGTTCTTCTGAGCGAACTGAACGTCGTCGTTCAGCTGCTACACTGACATAGTCACACAGTGACTACACGGTATCGGCAGTTTTTCTGTTTTTCTTTCTTCGATTTCATCAGCACATAAATCTGCATTCCATCTATACATATAAAAATAGCTTACATCTTTTAGTGATAAAGTTGGTTAGCAAGGTGGATCTCCAGTTGGCATGCAACGGTGCGATCCCGTATCGATGTTATCGATTGATACATATTGATGTATCGTTCGTAACGATTTTATCGGTCAAAACCGTACAACTTTGTTCTTTTTTTACTTTTGAACTAGAAAGGAAAAGTTTTCCAAGATTAGTCAAAGAGACTATTTTGTGTAAAATTGAATTTCCTAAAAAAGGTGCCTCTTAAATTAACCCTTTCTTGCCTCTAGTTAAACCTGAAGGTCTTGAACCAAAATATTATAGGGGTTATAGGTTATCGAGCATGCTGATGCCGAATATGACCATGGAGGCTTCCCATAGATCTTCGAAGAT